GGGGGGGGAACACCCGCGGTTGCAGAGCGCCCCGTGGGGCTTGCAGCCAGGCGGGGGGCACAAGGGGCTTCCCGCGGGACACGCGCGCCCACCCAGGGCACCAACTTGCTGCGCGCCCCTTAGAAGTGCCGGCCCTTGAAAGGGGGGGGGCACCTGGGGCGCTGCCGGCATCACCGGGAGCTGCTCGACTGTCCCTAGGTTGCCCCGAGTTGAGATACGTAAACCCTGAGTGCAGCGTGGAAAGGCTGAGGGTCGCATCCAGGCGTGGGGGACAGATAGACACCTGCGGCGGCAGAGCGCCCCGTGGGGCTTGCAGCCACACGTGGGGCACGGGGGCCTTCCCGCAGGACGGGCACCCACCCAGGGCACCCACTTTAAGCAGCGCCATGCACACCTTAAAAGTGCCAGCCCTTACAAGTGGGGGCACCCAGCATCACCGGGCACCACTCAAGAGCCCCTAGCTCACCCCGTGTTGAGATAAATAAACCCTGAGTGCCGCGTGGTAGGCCGAGGGTCACTTCCAGGCTCAGTGGGTCTGCACCGGAGTGGGGCCAGGTGGCCGAGAGCAAAGAGTAACAAGGAAGGAAAAGTCTTCAGATTTCCCTCATTTTCATCTCAACGCTCATCCCGCTGTTGCTGCGAGCGTCTTGGTGTCACGCACGTCATTTTTCTGTCTGGGGTTATGAGGCGTACGCTAAAAGCCCTTTCAGAAATAATTAATGACGGGACCAAAAATCTCATGAATGTTCTATTTACTTACGCGTAGCAATTACATGGCAAAGAGCAGGACTTGGCACTGCAGCCTGAATTAGCTGATACACAACCAACCAAGTGGCAACACCTGCAGCCTAATGGCTCCAGATCCTAAAATCCCCTCAGATGGCTCAGGCGGGCCTGCAGTATCAGTGTAAATGGCTGATAAAGCAAAGCAATGCGGAGCAATCTAGGTGGCGAGCTCTGTGTCGGGCTCTGATGGGTGAACAGAAGGTGCTTCTGCCTCTGGTAGGAAAGGCCTGCTGTCTGTCCCTGTCCTGCTTTTGTTTCAAAGGGAGAGCTGTTTCCAGCCACTTTTTAATACCCTCTGGCCTCCCTTCGGTTCAGGACACGCTGTGAACACCATGCGATGTAGCAATATTGGATTTTCCCTGATGGTCCCGAGCCTTGCACCAAAAGAAGATGTCAGTGGGCAGCGTGTGTTATATCATACGGCTGATGAGAACTGGGGGCAGGGGTGGCTCCGCTGCTGGGATGGGACAAAGCAAGAGAGAAGCTGCCGCCAACTCTTCCTCATTGCTGTGGCACTTTATTACTAATTACTGTTATGAAATGCTGAAACAGTTACCTAAGGTGCTTTTCAAGCTGTTCCCTCAGCAATGAAACTTCTCTTCCCACGGGTGGGAGGTCTGGGCCCAGAAGCGTTGCTGCCTGGATGCACAGCTGTAGTTCACAGCAGGCACAGCACAGAGCACAGCGCTGCTGGACTGCATCGGAAGGGCCGGGGGAAGGAAATTGCCTCGCTCTGGGGCACGTGCAATTCCTTGCAGAACAAGACTCGAATTCCCAGTTGACCCTGCTGGCCAGTGATCTGGAGTGCATTCCCACCCGCCCCCCCCACCCCGGTCCCTCCTTTGCAGAAGATGGCAAGCACTGAATGCTACGGAGAGAGGAGGTGAGGTGAGAACAGGAGGGACATTTGCCCCAGAAGGGAAAAAGCAGGACTGGCAGGCCTCGCCATAAAAGCAGTCTTTTGGGAGGAATTTGTTGCACAAAAGGCAAGGTACTCAAGTATCTTGTGATTCCCTTTATACCAGTTGTACTCAAATAGGAAGTAACCATTCATAGGAATTACGTGTGAACGGTTGTTCTAAAATCAAGTTATGCATAGCCATGTGTTTCAGAAATACCTTTTCCCTTCTGGCATGTGTGCAAGCACAGTTCCTCCCTCCTTGCTTTCTAACCCGAGAAGACGAGCCCTTTGCAGTCCCCGGCTGTCAGCAGCCCGTGAGTCGCCCACCCTGGCTGCAGCCACCCGCACGGTGTGGCTCAGCCAGGCAGCCCAGCGGCACTGAGAAGCACAAGGAAAGCAAAGCCCAGCCTGCGCTGCCTCATTTCTCTTCTGGACAGAGATGGGTTAGGGCTTCTTTCAGCCAAGTGGGCAAAACTGGATGGGACGCTGGAGTCAGGCTGCCCTTGTGCCAAGAGGGGGCCAGAGGAAAGCAGCAATGGAGTGAAATGGGGGCATCTCAGAGGGGTGGACTTGCTGCCACTTCAGGGTTTCTGTGGAATCCCAGAGGACGAAGTACAGTTGCTCACGTGGCTGCAAGTCGGTGTTAACATGCTCCAACTTCTGTTCCTGACTGCTCTGGACTTTTGTACAGTCCAAGCGTTTTTCTATGCCGTTTGGGTTTTTTCACCTATAGAAGGGACATCACACCACTTTCCTGTGCCCTGGAGCTTCTGGGGGGATTGGTTGAATAACGCTCATAAAAAGGACTTTGAAAGCACCAGGAGAGAGGCAAAGGAGGACAAGATGTTATAGCTGGCATTGTGTCTACCTCCTTAGAAGTCAGTGATGCAGCAGCCTCAGAAATACCCACAGTGGGTAGAGAAGGCGTCTGATCCATGGTACTTCAGTGCAATGGTGTGAACGGGACATTATATTCCCCATGTGCATCCACCCTTCTCTGTCTGCGCACAGAGTGACCGTGCAGTTTCGCTAAGTGCTCAGGGCTTTCCTCCTAAACCAGAACCTGAACTTTGTGAGCAGGAGAGCTGCCAGAGCTCCAGCTTCTGCTGCTCTTTGTGTTTATGTACTCAAAGAGGTGTCAGCCACAGTCAGACAGAAATAAGCCCCCTGCATCCACCCCTCGCCTGCCGGCCCCAGCTAAGCCGGAGCGCTCCGTGGCACTGTGCCGGCGCTGCAGCCAGCCGTGGCAACACGATGCTAAGCCTGGAGGGGCTGGGGATAATATTACCAAGGTAAAATATAACAGGAAAAGTCTGCAAATGCCCTTTCAAAACAGCAGAGAGTGAGTAATGTCATTAGGCCAGCGGTCAGGAGGGGACAGGGTTTGAAGGTACCCTTAGCCTACCAAAGGCCAAATGTGGGACAGGGGCAGGAGCCAATGAGCGGCGGCTGGACAGGAGACACCCCGCACTGTGCAAACTCCCGCCTGCGGTTTCATGTTGCAGCTGCCCCTGTTTGTGGATGGGAAAATGTTCTAAGGACCAGGCAGCGAGGGCAGTGAGAGGCAGCGGCAAATGGGGCTCCTCTGAGTTACAACATCCCCAGCCTCCGGTGGGTCCTCGCCAGCCCCCCACGTTGTGACACGCTCTCCTTGGCACTAAAATTAAATGCAGCCCCAGGGGGAATTGGCACGGTGGCCAGGACGGCCACCCTGGTGGCCGCCCTCCCTGGGGACTCAGGGGAAGGGGGATCTGCGCTGGCTGGGTGTCTCTGAGCTGGCGGTTGGGTAAGCTGGGGACAGCCGAAGGGCAAGATGCCCCCGAGGCTCTCCCGAAGTCCTCCCCTAAAGCAGTCTTCATTCATGTGGGCTGCTAATTGGAGGCCCCGCTCCCCACGGGGCAGCAGTGGTTAGCAGTGCCATGCCCCTGGGTTTCACTGAGTTTCTTTGCTTGGCTCCTTTCCATGAGCTCTGCTTTTCTCTCCCCTCAGTCCTGCTCAGCACTCAGCTCAGCCTTGTCCTTCACCTGAAGTCACCAAGCACAGGGACCTAGTGTCGCTTTTCCTCCAGACTTTCTGTGTCCGGTGGCTCCTGATCAGCTGTGTTCACCTGGTAGTTCCTGCCTCCTCTTCTTCTTCCTCCTCCTCCTCGTTTTCTGACATGAGGGCTCTGTGGTGCCCCATGGTGAGCAAGGAGTGAACCTCTGGTAATGCACTGCTGGGCGATGTGGCCCCTCACTCCCCATGAGCCTGGGTGGAAACTGCCCCTCCACTCTCTGTCTGACATCCTCCTTGCCACAGGGCTGAGGACATGGCCTGTTGGGCTGGAGGGGACCTGGGAAACAAGAGTGGCTTCAGACAACAAGCAGGTGCTGGCTGGGCTCCTGGCTCTGAGCTCCAGCTTGTCCAGGGAGCAGGGCTGTGGCTGTGTTTATTCAGAGGTTGCCATTCCTGCTCCAGCATACCCAGGCATCGCTGGGGAGCAGTGCTCCACCGTGCTGGCAAAGCCCCTCGTGCAGGCACACATGGGCCCCGTATCTGCCTGTGCCATGGCAAAGCGCCCCAGTCCCTTCTCTGGAATGCACCTGGCAGAGGGTCACTCCCCACCCCGTGCCACCAAACTCAGGTTGCTGCAGCTCTCTTTCCCCGCAGCAGAGACAGGCACTTGGACTGTTCCGGCTCTGCAGAGGAGCCCATGGCCGGCACTGAGGGCTGGGGGGATGCACACACACAGGGTGAGGTACAGGGCTCCAGCTTGCCTGATTCTGCAGCCTGCTCCTCTCCAAAACCGCAGCCTTGCACATGCTGTGGAGCTAAAGCCATGCAGTTATTGCAGAGGAAACCTATGGCAAAGGAGTAAGAAGGGGGTTGTGAATGAGCTATTGAAGCAGATGGGAATTTCCCAGAACAAGCGGCAGAGGCCAGGCAGAGCAGCAGAGGATAGGGAAGGCTCCTGCGCGATGGCTCATGCTGCCCACCAGCTGTGTGGGCTGAGTGAGGAGACCAGGATGCCCATTGACTCCTTATGGCATTTCCAGTGACTCATTTGTCCGCGGGAAGCAGCTCACCCGCAGC